TCATCGGCAGGCGTAGAGCTGACAGAACTGGTTGCGAGGCAAGGGCTCAAACATGTACGGCTGGAAGCCTTCTACACCAAACCAAGCTTCTGCCGCCCTGCCGTCCTCTTCCACAACATCTTCGTCCCCGCTTTCCTCCTCTAAATAAAAAATGGATGACGGAGGAGACTCATCCACGACCTCCGACGCTAAACTCTCCTCCTGCTTACGAACCTTCCGCCACAACAATCCCGCCCCCTAAACACTAAAAGTCCCGGAGATACGAGAATTTTCGTCAGCCTCTAGTCCCCCCGCAGTAATTATCAACTCATGAATCCCTTTTCAGATGTAAATGCCCCATTAGCGCTGTGGCTGGAGAAACTTCCACCCCCTTCAGTTTTGGTTTCAGCTAAAGTCTTTCACTTTGAAAGTGTTTTACCTGAGAGCAGGAGGGGGGGAAATCTTATTTGTAATAAAATATAACTAGGTCTACGTCATCAGTGTCGCCAACAGCGCAATGATTTCAGCGCAGCGATCAGACGATAACTGATCTGTACAATGAAAATAGCTGCATGAGGTGGAACGCTGTAGAAAGCAACAATATTTATACAATAATGACCATTTATACAATAATGAGCATTATTTATTTGGGGGGTAATATAACTCAGGCAATCTCTCCCCTCTCTCTCCTCTTTCCTCCGCTGGCAATATATTCGCAGATTCGGCTTTTCCGGACTAATAACTCGACTAGACACCACAGCAAGGCAGACAGTGAGCTACAAACGTGGTTTCCTCAAAAAGTCTCCTATCGCGTTGGGAGAATTACATTGGACCCTATGGGGATCTCACTGCTCCAAAAATATGCAGGAGGAGCGAGCTCTGCAAGATGCAAAATAATCAGAGAGAAATATTCAAAAGCGTCACCAAGGAGAGGTGGATTATTATCACATTCATTGGATTCGAAAATAATACTTATAGTTAATACTTCAAAATTTTCTGAGCAATTTCCAAAAGCTTAAATGACAGATATTTTATTATTTAAATAAGTATAAAATGAGCAATGACTACACTATAGATCATTGTAGTGCCTCCAAACTTGAAGGACACACAGATAACCTCATCTGGTTAATATTAGATCTTTTACTTTGAGAAAATGTACTAAACTCTATTTTTTTAGATTTTTCATTGTTATTATAAGTATATAAATGCCAATAGTTACTTATGACTTAGACAGATTTATTTTTCATTTTGTATACACATGTATAAATTTAGTTTAGAACAGCTCTAGACAATTTCATATTTTAAAGTGCAGCCTTGAAGACAGTGATAAATACATAAAAAATAGTTATATAAACATGTGACTGTATATTTACAGTTCTAACATTCTTTTTTTTTCTTACTGTGGGAAGATAGGCCAAACTGTATTTTTGGAGATTTATTCATTGTTATTACTGGTATAAGCATATAATAGCCAATAATTACACTATAGATCATTGTACTTTGGGAAAATGTGCTAAACTCTATTTTTTAGATTTTTTTCATTGTTATTATAAGCAGGCCAGGTGTGCAATCACTGCAACAGGAACTACAACCATGAGCATTGTGTGCACTGCACAAAGTATACCTGTCACAAATGCAGGACTCACCTTGGGTTTGTAAAAACTGCTAAATGGGACAATTGTAGCTTCATATGTAGAGCTTTTCCTTGGGTGAAATAAATGTTACTCCACTACTGAAATCACACTGTTTGTCATTCTCTAAGCTGAAATGTTGAATGACGTGAAAAGGCGAGAACAGACAAAATAAAATTATTCTCTAAGTTGTTCTTTCTTTCACATAGTGAGCTTTGCAATATAAATGAGTCTGTTGGTGAATGGACAATATCAATAGGCTCTGCCTTGCCTTGTTGGAAAGCATGGTTATGACCTGCTCTCAGGAACTAGGACCCGTATGATATCTGGTTGTTCAATAGGTTTGCCTTAATAAAAGATTCAGATATCACTTATTAAGTTATTCCTGCAAAAAGGTCTGATGTTGCAGGGGCAGGTAATGAAAAGTGCTTGGAGCATGCTCTTGTTCTGATGCCAGTTTGTTTCAGCCTTTATCCAGTCTCATGTAGAAGGACTGGTCACATCACAACCCCTTGCATTACAACAAGAGCAGTTAGCAAGGTAGAGTGAATACACAAACTTAAAGAGGGGAGGGGGGCTTGAAGGAAAACTTGAATTCTCCGGGCCATTTAGTGTTAATAACCGACCAATCACATTCACTTTATTCGGTCATGTAAAGTCGGGTTCCGCTCGGGAGACTTTAAACGTAGCAGACGGCTTCATATGGACCTGATAAATCCAGGGCTGTAGGACCTCAGCTCCTCATGCTGAGGTCCAGACAGTCCAGAACCCTCAGCAGATGGACTTCCTCTCAACAACCCTGCTTCTTCTTCTTCTTCTTCTGTGTTTTTCTCCAGAGTGGAGAAGAAGGAGCGAGCGAGGTTAAAGACGGTGAAGTTCAACTCCAAGTCCAGAGACCGGGGGGTGAGTGTGGACCCTCTGGAGGACAGAACCTTCATGGTTTAAGGTTTCAATCTGAAACTGATCAGATGAAGGAATCTTCCAGATGTTTGTTGTTCCCAGCTGCTTTTTTTTAATTTATTTTTTAATCTGCTGCATGATGTGTGAATTTAAAGAGTTTATGCTGCTGCTGCCACCTGATCTCTCCACCTACTAATGACTAATGTTGACAGCTGCTGTCCCGGTAACCGCCGCTGGCCCGGTAACCGCCGCTGGCCCGGTACTGGCCCTGGTAACTACAGCTGGCCCGTTAACCGCATGTCCACCTGAGACCAGCAGCAGCGCCTCCTTTAGGCTGTCTGCTGCTTTAACATGCGTCGCCCGCAGGACATGCATGACCTTTGACCCCCTGAGAGATAAACGCTCATCTTTGATATCTGCTTGCCTCCTTCCTCTCTTGCTCCTCTTCCTCCACACTCTCCTCCTCTGCAGTCAAAGCTGTCGCCCCCTGCTGGCCACTGAATATAAACCAGAAGCATCAGTTTGTTCTGCTGCAGTAGATCAGCTGATGACGGGTTAGAAAAAAAAAAACTGAATTAGAAAGCAAACAAAATAATAATAAACCAATTCTAATTAGGTGTAGAAAATAAACTTCTTTTTAATTAACTTTTTTTAGTTTTCTGAATGTCTGTGTTTCTATCCAGGGGCGGCGCTGCCCTCTAGTGGCCAAAATAACAAAGTTTTTACACGTTTTTGTTTTTGAATGAATCCGGGTTTAACTTGTATTCTAGGTTTATGAATTTGATCAGGATTGTCAGTAAGTACCACACATGTTAACAGTTTGGAGAGTTGGATCCTGGGTTATAATGATTGGCTGCAGGATTCCCACCATGTTCCTCTGCTCCCATAGTAATCATAGGGTAGTTTTGGCTCATAGATGGATTCTGTGCTGCATTATGCTGATTAAAGGAGAATCCTAACATTATCATGATGGTAATTATTTAAATTTACATTAATCAAATCTTAACCATACCATCAGGAACTAAAAAAACAGATCAGACCCCCGACAAGCCTAGAGAAAAAGATCATAAACAGTCAAAATCATGTTCAATAAATAAGATTATTTAAACCATATATAGCATCTACAACACAAACATCTCCTATGTTACGAGGGACGTTCAATAACTGACCCTGACCCACTTCCAGTTGTTTGATCTAGCTGAAATTTTGCATATGATTAAATAATTTAACTTTATTGATCTCGCATTGGAGAAATTCCCCCCTGCATTTTAACCCATCCCCTTGGGGGGCAGTGGGCTGCCATCGTGGGGCGCCCAGGGAGCAGTGTAGGGTTAAGAGTCTTGCTCAGAGACCCAGGGGCTCAAACTAAGAATCCTCTGGATCCCAAGCCCTATGCCCTAACCACTAGGCCGCCACTCCCCCTAATGTGCAATTACTTATATCTCTATAGATTAAGTGGTAAATTTTAGCTTTGAACTTTTTGTGGTTTCTGATTTACAGGTGTTTGAACTTAGCCAAGGGTGAAATAGAGCCTGTTGAGCGTCGAGCAGTAATCTGGTTTCTGTATTTAAAGGAACGCACACCACGGGAGACTTCTGAGGAAGTGAAAGTAACCCATGGTGGTGATGCCCCATCATATTGATTGATTTACTTTAATGTTCTCACAGTGGAGAAATTGGCCAAAATTTTACAAAGTCATATGATGAGGCATCATCTCCATAGGCTATGAATCCTTTTTAAATACACAAACTGATCACTGCTCGACGCTCAACAGGCTCCATTTCACCCTTTATTCAGTTCAAACACCAGAAACCACAAATAGTTCAGAGCTGCAATTTGCATCTTATTCTATAGAGATAGATCTAATTACGCATTGAAAAGTTTCAGAGAGATCAAACAACTGGACGTGAGTCCAGGGGCTTAATTATTGAACGCCCTTAGTAGAGACCACCTTTGAACCATTTCTTAAAGTCAGAGTTTAACCGTCTATAACACTTATTGGTATTATTGCCATCACTAGATGTTTATTGTTAATTTAAAGGTATAAACATTTTAGACATTCAGACCTGTTCTAACTACGCTGCTACTGCGCCTGATTGTGAGGAACCAGCAACATGATTACAGTCAAAGACAGCTGGCTGACAACAATAGGTGGAGGAGGGGGGAGGATTTCTAATCCTGTTAAAAGGAATTTAAGCTGCAGATACCATATCAACCAAACCTTTGAGTTCTTTCGTGTTCTAAAACCAGAACCATGACTTGTTTCATACCTTAAACCAGCATCCAGCCTTACTGGGCCCTTAGAGGCGGGTCCACAGCTTCCCTCCCTCTGCCCCCAGCTTCCCTGTCTGCACGTCTACAGCATGCCCCCCCCCCATTCTGCTGTGCTGCCTTCACTGACACTCAGGACACAAAAAAACGGCCTCAAAACCTCTAACAGCACCGCCGCCACCCCCAGAGCCCGGTCAGACCAGGACATCAGGTTCTAGGATCCAGCTGTTTGACCTTTGACCTAACCTCTAAACTCTCCCTGCTGTTTAACGTCGCCGTCCAATGAAATGAGTCGCATCCTGTCGTTCTGCCCAATCAAACATCAGAGCCCCTCATCTGCCCCTCTTCTTCTTCCTTTATCGCCCTCCTCCTCTTCAGCAGTCCGTCAATGACAAGCGTAAAAAGAACCTCTTTACCCGAAAGTTTCCTTTCTACAAGAGCAAAGAGCCGAGCGAGCAGGAGACCAGCGACGCCGACCGTAAGTACCGCCGCCGCCGTGTCCCGGCAGACGATCGGTCAGCGGCAGGAAGAGAGATCAGCTGGCAGTGGTGTCAGGCGCATCAGTCGTCACGGCAACGTAGCAGTGACGGCTCATATCCAATTAGAAACTGAGACAAAACCAAAACTGCTGCAGAAGGTTCTCTGTTTGGAGCCAAAATGGCCGCCTTGCCGACCAGCTGTGCTCCCTCTGCTCTCTCCGTCTGCCGCTGGATCTCAGTAACGTTGTGTTTCTCTGGTTGTTTTTCTGTTTGTCCCTCTGCTGACTCAGGACAACAACGATGACACGATGAACAAAAGCCACAGTGAGTAAAACACCTGCCAACATCAGGCTGAGGGTCTCCACCAGGAGGAGAACATGTTTCATTATCCCACTGAGGGGAAACCAGGAACACATGATAACATTTAACAATAACTTTATACATTCAGTTTGGAGAAAAGATTCAAAAACAGAAAAACACCTAAAATAAAAAACCTTGATATATATGGTTTTTATGATTTTTAGAAACATTTCCAGGTTGTTTTTCTTGGAACTGGGTTTAAATTTCTCAGCAGACACAAAATTATCCGAATAGTTTGCATCCTGGTGGAAACCTGGTCTGAGACCTTCATCTTCTCCTCATCTCAGACCTTGGTGGAATAAAGAGGAAAACCTCCATCAGTTTGTTCTCCTCTGTTATTTTCTTCTCGATGCTCCACAGTTGGTCTAAGAACCTGTATCTTCTGAGTTTAGTAGTCTGCTTTTATTTTAAACCATGTAATCTGATCATACAGAAACAAAACGGAAGCTTCAGGTGAAATCTACTGAATCATCTGATCCTGTGTTTCAGGACAGTTAAATGTTAAAATTAAGCTAAAAGTTTAAAATATTAATGCTCCAGAATCCTGTCCTCTTGCTCTCTGGGAGCTCAAGGTTCTTGGTCCAGCTGAGAAGGAGCGGCGCAGAGAAGTGATTCTCCTGTCAGGAAGCTGCTGATTGGTTGTTTCCACATGATGACAGTAAAGTGTTTAAATCAAAGGCTGATGACTGAATCAGTTACCAGTTATGTGCTTCGATTTATCACCGTGCCGTTCTGGTCAAGGGAGCCCAAAGCCAAGCATTCTGGAAGACCTGGCGTCTGATTGGCTGTTTCCTGTGCTTGATTTCAGAACATGTGACGTCTAACGCCAGTGATAGTGAAAGTAGCTACCGTAAGTTTTACCGCCGCTCTGCAAATGGTCACTAACAAAATGAAGTATGACAGCTAACCCTCTGATTAGCCGAATGAACTCTGACTGCTGATTATTTAGCAGAGCTAACCCTCTGATTGGCCGAATGAACTCTGACTGCTGATTATTTAGCAGAGCTAACCCTCTGATTGGCCGAATGAACTCTGACTGCTGATTATTTAGCAGAGCTAACCCTCTGATTGGCTAAATTAACTCTGACTGCTGATTATTTAGCAGAGCTAACCCTCTGATTGGCCGAATGAACT